AAACTCATATGCAACCTTTTACAGGAGCACTCGGCAGCAAAGACTTCCTGCGTGTGTGAGGGCCTTTTCCTCTTGTTTCCCAGATGCTTGCTCAGGTGCCTGGTGTGCCCCAGGCCTCTGACTCGTCTCGAAAGTTGTGCGGAGGCTGTGTCAGGAAGGTGAGTGGAGGAGCAAAGGTTGCCACTGCCCTGGGTGGATCGACTGGCAGGCAGGGCGAGTAGAGAAACAAAAAAGCGTTTAGCCTTTGCCTCCCTCACTCATCACGTCTTCTAGTATCTGTTGTTTGGCCAGGAGGTGTCCCCCCTGGGCGCCTGGAGCTGAGCTTTCGGTGACTCCCGGAGTTTTGCCGCAGGGTGGCTCCTCTCATCCTTTGACAGAGGCAGAAACTTTAAGCATAGAGAAACAGCTGTTTGAACGATTTCTCCTTCCTCCCTTCTTCCCTCCCTTCCAACCTGCTACTCCCTAAGGTGTCTGCAAGAGAGGCAAAGAAGAAGAAAGGTGTATTCTGGGGCATTGAGGTGGCTAAAACACTCAGTTGGCATGGCTGGGAACTTGGACAAGAGATGATCAAACACCTGACCTTGAAAAATGTTCATGAGAAAACCCAGAAGCTGAGCTACAGGTGCGTGGGAAGTTTGTTTGTCCTTTGTACTCCTCATGCTCTCACTGTATCTTCAGTCTTCATCACTCCTGCTCTATCAGTCACATCAGCAGCTTTCCTCAGGCTCACCTGCTCCCTTGCCCCTTGAGTGCTGTGCTGGAGACAGTTTGTGCACACTTACATAGCAGGACAGAAACCTGCTAGTTCAGAAGCACAGCCCTTGTTCCTGGCAGAAGTGTGTTAAAATGCCTTGTTTTAAATTCTGTTTTGCTGATACTTCTGTCTGTGAGGCATTTCCAGTCTAGTGAGATTTTAATCGTGGATGTATGCCAGCCAGTCACTAGTGTGTCCTAAAACCATTGCTCCCGGGAGTCCCACTGGATGTTGAGCCACTCCAGCATTCCCTGTGACCCTCCCTGCTCAGAAACTCAGATATGTCTGCCCAATGTATTTTGCTTATACTACATGGCCTGGAAACATAAAATATTGTTCAAGGAAGGGGTAGGTACTTAGAGCTGGGAATGGATTTTCAGGACACCTGGGTTCTGTCTTTCCTTCTGCTTCTTTGCTACCAAGGTACCCTTGGGATCAGGCATGTAAAAGTGCTTCTAATTGTAGGGTCTTGAAGTTTTGATTATTTGTTCTCTTTTCTGCTATCTAACTTGGGAACAGCTGTATGCCCTCAGACAAAATCTCTTGTTTTGATTTTGTTATCTAGATGTCCTTCCACGCGAGCCTTCCTCACTGTTTTTCCACAGCCGATTACTCTGAGACCTGGTATGTCCTTCACTCTGCCCATCGTTTTCCAGCCCACTGAAAAGGTAAAGCAGCAACATCACAACTGCTCTCAGTGCTCAGGCTGCCTTCCAGGGCGGGCAGTGGGCCTCTGCCTCTCTTGTCCTTTCTGATTTATTTTCACTTGAACGAATCAGTCCCTGGGGACATTCTGGCGTAGAAAGGCTGGGCAGAGTGACCTTCCTGCTCTCCCCACATCTTCATCCACTGAGGGAGTCCTAACTGCTGACTTCTCTGCAGAGTTTGCCCGTAGTTATGAGAGGGATCCTCACAAAGTGTTCCCAGTTTTTCACGTGCTACTTCTGGCTGTCAAATCAGGAAGATAAAGTGCCTGAACTACTCACACCTGGTTTGATCCTGGGAAACCTCAGCTGGGTGGTTTTAGTTCAGAACCATAGGTTAAGGGACTCACTCTCCACTTTCCTACAGGAGATCCCAAAGCCTCTATATTGAAGGGCTAATGGTTTTCTATAAGGGACATGTCAAGAGCCTCTCTTCTTTTGGATGGGGTGGGTTTTTTTAAGCTATATTTGTAACAGCAATGATTCTTTTTACCCAGCCCCTTTTCTTGATTTTCAGCTTGTTCATGGTGTCTGTCTTGGCTGGATGTTGAACTCTGGCTCTTGTCAACAGCTGTATGTCTTTGATGTGGATATCTCTCCTAACCATAGAGCATGATCATTGGACAGATTCCCAGCACCCTGCTCTCTTAGTATCATGATTTTCTGATGACTGTTCACTGTTCCCTTTATGAAATAAGCTGCTGGCCTTGTTCCATGTTCGGTGAATAGCTTGTCTGCATCACATCAATCACTAGAGCAGGGGGCTGCCTTTCTTAGAGAGAGCGAGGACTGTGTGCTGCAGGGCCCAAGGTCTCTCCTTACCTGTAGAAGTGGTACTCAAGAGAGGTGGCAAATGTGAAGCATGGAAGATGTGCCTTGCAATTCCTTCTATCATAGCTGCTTAGCAGATGTCCTGGGGCTATTTGTACACAGTGCTGTCAACACTGCCTCTTTAAGTTTTGTGTTATCTGCTTGGGTCTCTAGCTGACAAAGCATTTAATCAAAGACTAGTATTTCTGTGCTTGTGGAGCTCAGAGAAAGGTTGTACATCAGTGCAACTGAATTGAGATTTTGAAAATACTGAAAGAAATCCATCTGCATTGAAACAAATCAAGTGACACAAATGTGGCCTTCAGCTGCTCTCTCTGAGGGTGTTTGTGTGTTCCCTGACAGAGTGAGGAGTATGCCTGAGTACCCTCCACACTGCCTGCCTTTTCCAAGTGATTCATATGCTCTCTGTCCTGCACAGAGGCCTTCACTGGTGCCTCTGTTGCCAACACTTTTTTCCTAGCACTTGGAGAGGTGAAGGTGGCCGGTATTCTTGTGTGAGCTGCAGTACCTGCAAGGTGGAGTCTGTCTAACTGCTCTCTTTCCTTGCTTCTCTGTGCAGAGGGAGTACAAAGACAGCATCTGCTTTCAGAAAGCTGAGGGTGAGTTCTCTGTCACTCTGCGTGCCACACTTCCATGCCTCCGTCTGTCCTTCCCAGCTGTTGTCCAGTTGCCTATCTGTGCTGTCCACAATGTCACGGAGACAACATTCCCCGTGCACAATGTTGGGTAAGTGAGATGCGGTTGAGCAGGCACTCTTACTGTTTTGGCAGGTATTTTGCCACTTTCTTGGACTTTCCAATGAATGCAGCTCATTCCAGTTGTTATTAGATCTGCTGACTGCAGAACTCTGCCTCCTCTGAGGGCCTGATGGAAAAGGCAGCAGAATGGTAGTACAGGTCAGGTCTCACTGTGGGCACATCTTGGCATCTTACATCTGTCTGTTTCCAGCATATGCTGAGAAATGTTCATGCACAGGAATTAGGTGCGGACCAGCACAGTGTCCCACAGAGAACATCCTGCATTCACAGGAAAGGCCTGGGCTTCCAGTTAATCATAGGCAGCCTACCAAGCATGAGCAGGGAGAGATGAACTACCAAATGGAAACATTTTAGTCATTTAGGAGCATAGATGCTCCCAGTTACGAATGATTGTCTTATTTTAATGAGGGAAGGACAATAACTGAGAAAGGAGTGCAGTGAAGTTCCCAGGCAAGGAAGAGGTGTACTTCCAACCCAGTGATTCCAACCATTTTGAGTAATTCATTCTCCACTTAGAGAAATAATTTGTACTGACTGTGAGGTCCAGGGTATTGGAGGATATGGATGGTAAGTAACACACAGCTTGGAATCAATAAAATAAGAAAAGCTGATGGTATATCATGTTCTTTGCAGAAATCAAACAAGCAAAGGGAGTTCTGGAGGGTTGAACGAGATATTAGGGAAACAGCTCACTCCTCTCTTCTCACCTGGGCATATAACAGAGGAACAAATGTTCGTTTAGAATTAAGTAGCAGTAAATTTAGATACGGGAAAAGCAAATACTTCTTTCTGGAGCTGATTTGTTTGCTATCACATGAGGAAACTAAAATTTTATGGCCATTAATAAAGTTCTTAGATGTAATAGCAAAGATTCATTGAAGTGTGAACAGAGCATTTGCAGAGACTAGAGACAAATTTCTTCCCAGCATCAGATATTTGTCTAGATGCGTTAGGGATTCTGCCATTCAGCATTTGTTGCTTCACATCCTAACTGAATAACCCATTGGGAAAGGCCCATCCATGATTGCACAGGCAGCAAATGATCCATTTGTCTTTTTAAAATGTATCTCCATTTCCTAGTGATCTCATTATTGAGTTTGCCTGGGAGACACCAAGCCCTTTCTACATGATTCCTGACCATGGCATGCTGAACCCAGGTGCCAAGTGCATGGTCAAGGTGGTCTTCCAACCCAAGGTGGCTGGGGTGCATCATGTGGCAGCAACATGCTGCTTTGGAGGTGAAGAGAAACAAAAGAGGACAATGCAGCTAAAAGCCCTGGGTGAGTCTTTCTTGCATGTAATAATCAAAGAAGTGTGTATAACCCCTAACTATGGAATAGCATTCCATGGGGATACATGGAGGTGCTGCGCTCTGAGGCTGTGCCACATTTGGCTCAACCCAGTGATGAGCAAATAAAGCCCATGGTTTGAAAGTGGCCTGTGAAATTCTCTAATGTATTTTTGCCTATTTGGAAGTGTTATCTGAAGAGACACAGGGTCCAAGATGCCCTGTGGCATGCTTTGGCCATAATTTCTGATGTCTGCTTAATTTGACAGATGGGCAGAAATGAGAGGAGTTCATTGGAAAAAAACCTCCAAACTCCTGGCTTCGTCTGCACTCAGTCTCTCCTGTCTGTCCTTGATAGACAGAGAAGCAGAGAGAAATTTCTAAAACTTTCTGGATGCAAGCTAGAATAAGCAATGATTTCATTAGCAAGTCCTTGCCTGAAATGCCTTATATGGCCACTGACAAACAGAAGTGATTCTGAGCTAAGTAAATCAGGGCTGGCAGGGAGCTTATTTGGTTCAAAGCAAGACCAACTTTGAAGATCCAAGTTCAGAGTTACCTGAGGTTGTTCAGAGGCTTGTCCAGTTCAGTGTTGAATATCTAAGGATGGAGATTGCACCTCTCATTCCTAATCCAGTATATTATTCTCTTTAACAGCCAAATACCCATACCTGCGGGTGAGTGTGACAGGGAAAGACTACAAAGGTGTACAGCCTGCAAAGTTTCAGGATGTGCTGTGCTTTGGATCAGTGCCAGTGGGGACAACTGTGGAGAAGTGTGTTGAAATCTTCAACATGTCTGTGGTACGCGGAGAGGGAAACAGTTCTTGTGAGAAGCTGGCATGTGGCATGCTGACACATTTCCCTGGGATATGCAGTCTTGTGTAACTCCCTTATGCTATGAAAATAACCTAAGAGGGAATGTGAATGAAAGAGAGATGATGAACCTTCCCCTTCCAACCAGGCCACTCACCCGTGCTTTCCAGCTACAGTGCTAGCAACTTAGCCATTTGTAGCAAGGTGTTGCAGTTCCCATCTGCTTCCTGTTGTGCTTGGTCCTCATCAGGCAGACACCACTGGCCACCTCCTGCAGTTCTCCTGCTCACTCTGGACAAGCCCATTAGTCCTGTGTGGCAGTTGTGGCAGTCTCAAATTGGCACCTGCTTCTTCTGCTGATGGATGACAGCACTGCTGACTTCACAAGCTCTGCAAGTTGGGAGTGGCAAAGACACACTCATTTGTTGTACTGTTATTTGCACAGCAGTGGTGCTCAGCATCACCAAGTAAGGATCAGGACCTTTTGGTAGGGACTTGAGGAAGGTGTCAGAGCATCAGCCTTGGGGTTTTTTTGTGAGAAGATCCCTAGACAAGGTAGAACTGCAGATGGAGGGAAGTAAGTTGCCTGCCTTCCTGTTCCCCTGGCCACAGCAGTCAGTTAGGCTACTTTGACCTCTGGGGACACCTTAAGCCATCTTTCTTCCTACCAGGAGGAGCACTCCAAGCCCAGAGATCATTGGGAGTTTTTCTACAGCCCACTGACTTCTGAGTGTATTGTGGGAGCTTACTGCCACCAGTTCTCAGGACAGGGTGGCAGAGGTTTGTTGCCCAGTATTTTTGTGCTGGCCATGGTGTTCTTGGTGGTGGTCGGCTCTGCTGAAAACTGTGGTTCTTACCTGATTAGTGTCCTGCATTCAGAGCCATCCTGGCTTATGTTAGCTCCTTTGTTAACCTATTTCTTTTCTACTTGCAGGTTGATGCACCATGTAGGATAGAACGAGCAAAAGATCCTCTGCTCCGTGGTCATGTTTTCTCTTGTAATGTGTCCCATGATGTTGTCCCTGCCAAAGGGAAGCTGGTCTTGTGCATACAGTTTAAGCCTCAAATAGTAGGAGAGCACAGTACTGACTATTTCACTATCATATCTGCTGGATACCTCCTGGAGACTGTTCTGAAGGTGGTTGGCTCGTGTAAAGGTACCAGAGTGAAAGACTTCCCTGTTTCTCCCTGTTGTCTTCTTATCACTGCAGGGGAAGGGCTAGTGCTTGGGGAAGGACTAGGAACTCTCACAGCTTGCAATCACAGAATTACCTTCTGGTGGGATCCTGGCTGTACCTGGTACACCACTTCTGGTTTATACTCACTTGAGACAGATTTTTGACTGTTGTAAGTGAATGTCCAGCTGTTTTCTAGGACTGGTGGGTTTATCGATGAGGTGATTCTGGTTTGGGAAGATCAGTTAAGTGCAGTGGCTTGTGACATGTTGACAGAAACAGCTATGACAGGTCCAGGATCTGTCTTGCCTGTTGTGCTAGGTCCTTTGGTGTCCCTGAACCAATATTCTGTGGACTTCAACTGGATCAATCTTGGAGAAAGTTTGATGCAGACACTGGAAATCAGCAACATGTCAGATGTCCCAGCCTATTATCAGTTTGATATCGATGGCAAAGGGAGCATCTTCTCCTTGGATCGTCCCCGTGGAGTCCTGGAGGGCAAAACAACACTAACACTGAAGGTGACCTTTCGACCTACTCACCCAATTATCTATCACCGCAGAGTGGTGTGCCTTGTCCACCATCAGGTATGAGGGGCAAAGGGTGGTTTCATTGCTGTGATACTTCAGAAGGGTCTCCCAATGTAACCCACTGGGGCTGGGCTCTCTCACCTAGTAGCTCCTGAAAATCTCTTCCCACTGCATTTTCATTCATACTTATTATGGAATCATTAAGGTTGGAAAACACCTCTAAGATCTTTGAGTCCTACCGTTAACCCAGCACTGCCAAGTCCACCTCTAAACCAGGTCCCCAAGTGTCACACCTACATGTCTTTTAAAGGAATGGTGACTGAACTGCTTCCCTGAGCATAGAATCATAGAATCAACCTGG